GAGAAACTGCAGGTGATCATGGTTCCCTCTGTAATAACACTCGTAGTAGTCTTCATCTGAGAGCTTTGTGTGGTGGAGGGTGAGAGAGAAGTTCCCCTGTCTGATCTTCTCTCTGGACACCTCAGCTCTGCTCTTATAGTCAGGGTCAGGATACTGTTTCCCACTGGAGACATCAAGCACTGATCTGTCTGGAGTCTGCCAACGGATTCTGAGCTCCTCCTCGGGGATTCCAGTAGCCCTGGTCCCATCACAGGGCAGAGTGACCGAGTCACCCAGACGCACCGATAGTGGGAGCGCTGAGGAGACAGAGACACAATACAGCATTATACACACATACACACCCTCACAGACACACACAGGAGAGAGAGATTCAGCAACACACCTAGACACCCCCTCACAGACACACAGCAACACAACTAGACACCCCCTCACAGAAACCCACTGGATGGAGAGACACAGTAACACAACTAGACACACCCTCACAGACGCACACTGGAGAGAGAGACACAGTAACACATTTAGACACACCCTCACAGACGCACACTGGAGAGAGAGAGACAAAGCAACACACCTAGACACCCCCTCACAGACACCCACTGGAGAGAGAGACACAGCAACACAACTAGACACCCTAGGAACAGGAGAAATGAGAGTGTAGGAGCTCTCCTCACCTTCGACAGTGACAGTGACAGTGATGACACTGATGGTCCTCTTGGTTCTCCTGTCTCTCACAGTGTAGCTGCCCTGATCAGCCTGCGTGAGGGTGTGGATGACCAGAGAGGTGTTCTGCACTGAGACATGCTCATGTTGGGTGTCTGAGCTTCTGGGATAAACCACAGTGTTGTTAAACAGCACCTCCACCTCATCGTCATCGAACACAGGGACTGAGAGATTTCCTCCAGACACTGCACTGTGGGTCTCTGTCCGAACTGAAAGAGACAGACGGAGTCACCATGAATTTCATCTCACTTCACAGAACACCTGGATCTGCTTGTGTGGATCAGCTGAGAGAAGAGGAGCCACATTCCACAGGACAAAGAGAGTACAGGCTGGATATAGAGGAGGCTCAGTGTACCAGAGGTGCTGGACAGTAAGTCACTCATGGTGGAGGGGTGGGCAGGAGAGTAGAGAGGGACACGTGTGTGACTG